TACGCAAAAGTCGAGGCCGAGCCTCGACCTCGGTCTTTTTAACAGCAGTTTAGATTACTTCGTCCCAGCCGTTGGAAAACTATACTCACGGGTAAAATCTTTTTTTACAATAGTCGCCACCGGTCTCTTAATAGTTTGCCCCCCACACAACTCCTCGAATGCTCGTTGATGTCGTCCTCCCGCCCCCTGGAGCGACGCCCCTGTCACCCCTGGACAGTCGCGTTGAGTGTACTACGGTTAAATTGTTTATGTAAAATTTATTAACAATGCTGGCCGTATTATTATTCCTGCTAGCAGCAAGACACTTAGAGGTCTGCGTGTGTACGATTACTTAATCCCAGTACGGTCTCACCCTCTACTTAGCGACGGGAAAATTCTCTCCTCTCTCCCCACACGAACACGTACACAAACGCCCAACCATTCGCTGTTCACTCTCTTGGATATCCTCCTCTTGCACACGCATACAAAACCTTCCTTTGCTCCTTCGTTTTTCTGTCTCAGACACTACATAAAAGACACTTTGTTTTTCGATTATTGTCACGTTGCGGAGAGTTGCTTCCTCGGCGGAGAGAGGTCAGTAAATTCGAATTTTCACCCAATACTTGGGACTTGCGCAACGAAGACGGGGGAGTTGATGCCAGACCTGGCTGTCTTTCAAAGTTGTGTGTCTACCGGTCAGGGACGGGGAAGCACTTCGTTATAATATAGCTACTCGTCGCTACTGGTATAGCGGTCGTGATCGCCAAAAGATAGACATTCGCCGGAAAGTTAAGATTCTATGCCGTGTACCGGTGACGCCCGTTATTTCGAACGCAACTAGCCGCGCCGTAAACATAACATGTCGAGGAAAGTACCCATTGACGTTCAAACCTTCACGAAAGGAGGCACCACTTTGCTAGCGTTACGTGGTTTACCTCCTTTCGCCCAGTCTTTCGTGGTACCTCTATTTCTCTTCGACCGCGCAACGCACGTACCGAAGGGAAGACGTCATTGCCCCTCTGGCGTGAGACCGCCGCCAGAGCAAGCTGCTAGGCTTTTTTGTTAAATTTATAAAAACGTGTGAATAAGGTGATAGGATACAGTGACAATGCACGGCCCGTTACGCACGTGCGGCACGGTCCCAACGGCTGGGGACGGATCTCCGTTTCCTCGAGCTCGATTTCTCCGGGCATTCGAATGCAGGCTCTCGCATGTCCTTATTTGGCTGGAGGGGACTTGTACCCAGCTGACTGTCTCAGAGCGTACGGCCGGATGTTCGTCATCACGACTCGTTTCACTGATTTCGTTGGTGTGTGGAATAATTTTTTTTGTGTAGAAATATTTCAGTCCGTTGTGATTGTCCGAACACACTAAGCAAAATAAAAGTGAATGAACTGTAGGCAAAGACAAATACTAGTTACACCTCTGTCCGTCTGAAAAAAACATAATATCGTCTATAGTCTACCTTAGTTATGTACCCGGCGTGTCCAACTGTACAGCTGTAGGTGTTCATTTTAAGAACCATCTAAATGACCCCTGAGCGAAAAATGCTAATGCACTTTGGCACAGAACTCAAGATAAAAGATACCTTTATTACTTATCGTAGCTGCACATACAATATATCCGATTAAAGCTGAGGATCCATAGATTATTTAGGTATATATATCATCACTGAGTGATCCGAACTCGCGACAGGGGAAGCAAACACAGACATCACAACACATACCTTTACGTAGCTTTTACGGGAGATCGTCTCACCGTAGCTGTCAATCTGATCAAAAGACTTGTTCAATGGCATTAAAACGAGAAAAAATGCGGCAGAATCGGTTAATCCATAGGTTGATAATGTTTCTGTGAAATAATATTTTTTTATTTATAATCCATAATTCCATTTTTATGTAAAAATCGGAGAGTAAAAGTTAGCTGCTAATGGTAGCCACCAGAGTTATCACAGCTTCCGGTTTTGGCTATGCATCAGTCTCACACACACACACATTACCAAATAAGGAGTATGTGGGAGTTCCCCTCGATTCCATTGGCTCTGACGGTTAGAAAGAGATGTCAATCAGCAAAATCGAGCAAGGGTTGCCAGAGATAGGTCCAATCCACCCAAATGACCCCAGAAGTGTTTTTTTTGTGCTAGATCTCTCTAAAAATGTCAAATTTCACTTGTTTTGCATCAATCTTGATACAGGGTACTTATTATATGTTGTAGTTTGGATTCCTAAAGCTTTTATTCTACCATCCCATCATTCAAGGGTTTTCACTATAAGTAATTTTTTCTTTTTGGACGGACACAATAATTTAAATTTTTGTACTGTGTTCAATGTGAATTTACTTTAAAATAAAAATATCTATATTGATTTTGACACTTACATCCAACTCACAGGTGTAACCTTGCTTTGAGAAAAAGGATTATTAATTTAACCCTTTTAGAAGGGAAGATATGGTCATTTGTTCTGGGAATGTCATTTTCTAGCCTGAGACCTGAAAAACCGGCTCGGGGCTTAATTAAATCACCCCCTCATGAAATTTTGAGCAGTACATTTTCGCAGTCTGTTTGCTAACATGCAGTGGTGTTATGTAACTCGGTACATTTACTCAAGTACTGTATTAAAGTAACATTTGAGAGATTTTTTGCTACCTTGTACTTTTACCCTATTACAATTCAGAGGTAAATGGTTTTGCTCCGCTACATTTATTTAATACCTTTAGTTACTTTGCATTTTGCATTAATAATGAGAAATATAAACAACACTTAAAAAGGACTTTAGTTTTACTTTGAGTAACATTCACAAGCCACCATGCGGTAATTCAAACTAGCTGCACCTTTACCAGCTTTGAAAAAAACATGAATGCCTCCATAATAATCAAAACATACAATATGTGGCAAATAAGTGGCACATTTGCATTATGAGCACTTTTACTTTTAAAGGTTCCATGTCATGGCCATTTCTACTGATCATAATTCCATTGTTGAGGTCTAATAGAATATATTTATATTTCGCAATTTTCCAAAATCGCATTGGTTTATCATACATCATCTCTGTATACTGTAGTATGTGTATTCACTCTCTGTCCTAAACGGCTTGTTGGAGCTCCATTTGGACCAATTGTTCCATTTGGGTATGGGCAGGTCACTGTACCCAGGAAGAAAAAGAGAAATCTCCAACGAGGCGTTCTGGGGCAGCATAGACAGGTATTTTCTGTGTTAGAGTTTTACTCGCTACAGGGTGTACTTTGAGGGTTTTTGACTTTGCAGACCGTTGACATGCATAAAAACCTTCATAACACACAAGGGGACGGGTAACAACCGAAAAAGCATGACATGGGACCTTTAATAATAACTATAACATTGATTTGTAAAGCACTTTTAATGCGTCAGATGCAGCTCAAATAATATCACAGGACTTTCACTTGTAACAGAGTATTTCTACATTTTCTACTTTTACTCAAGTATATATGATCTGAGTAGACTACTACTCCCACCTATGCTAACATGCTAGCGGTGTTAGCAAACACGGCAAAAGCACAAGTTGCAACATTTTAGTCAACTCGCTTTCAGTTAGGGGGCTGTGGTGGAAGAACAAAATAAGTGAACATTTAAATTAAAAAACCAGCTATAGATGATTCGTTTTTGACGTGGTTACTACCTGCTCAGGCTGCACGTCTAGCATGATTTCCTGACTCCTCTTGGCGGCAGCGAATGCCTCATTGAAGGAAAAAGGCTCAGAGGCCATGGTGATGGTGAGCACAGCATCATAGGCCTCCCTCAGCCTGCTGTTGTTTTGCAGGGGGAAGAATGAGACGTTCGTGTAGGGCAAGCTGTAATGGAGGGTGTCGTAGGGCATGAAGACATACTTCCCTGAGGTCAGGCCCATTTCCTGTGCTTTGAGAAGAAAGGTAGCCTGCTGCTCCCCTCCAATGAGGACTGAGTGCATGCACATGATGATGACTGAAATAGATAAGTAAAAATTATATAATGGTAGAGTGATAACATGTGTTAGCACAATTGGAGTTTACATAATGTACTCCAAAAGTTGAAGACAAATCAGAAAGAAGGGTAATTGTGATGAGATGCAAGTGGCAACACATTAGGCTACCATGCAGCATTGTAGTCTGAAGTCTTATTATAGTATATATTCCTACACATTTAGTTCAAGTGTTCTAGCGCGAGTGTTCAAAGTTGTTAAAAATAAGAAGTGGAGGTTCCCTGTAATTTCACTTTTCTCCCTAACTCCTCTTTTCTATCAGCTTTTTCCACTTGATTATTATTTAAAACAAACAAATGAAGCTTCTGCCCCAGTTCACCTTAACCACAAGGTGAAATCTGCAGTGTCAAATGGCATTATTTTCTCTTTAATCTCACTAGTACTCGACACTCTTGCAAGGCTGTTTTTGTTGCACTCATGCCAATGAAGCATGTTTGGAATGATAAGCCTATTAAAGAGGATGTGTTGCCTACAGCTTGAAAGGGAGAAAATCCTGGTGGGGAAAATCAAAACAGATGATGGTTTGATGTTTTGCAGTTCAGCCAGGAGTTCACCTGTGATTTAATACCTGCTCCTCATGTTTTTATATTATTATCTTTTTTTGTAAAAACGACTATGACTGCATATAATAACATTTTAATATATTATTCTACTTTTTCATCATCTGGTATCACCTTAACATACAGTATACAGTCTCACATGTTATAATTGCTAGCTTCTGTATTAATGTCAGCATAGACTCACCCCTGATTTCTCCTGCTTCCTGGATTTTCCTCAGTGTGCTCTCCATCTCCGTCTCATTCATGCCAATGGATGTAACCAGGCCAACAGGAAGCCCCTCACGTCTGAGAGCAGTAGCAACTCTCGCAGCAGTGTCCCTCCATATATCCTCATTGGATGAGATCACCACAACACTGGCCCACCTAAAGTATTTCAACACGATGAACAGCACCTCAGAGGGAAAAGGTACTGTCCTGGAAAAGGTTGGGTATCCCATGACCCGGTCCAGCTCATAGTTAACACAGCCATACGAGAAGATGGCCTTATCCCAGTTCTTGGAAAGCAGAGAAGCGGCAACACAGTATCCCGGATTTGTGGGGCCAATAAACACATCAGCCTTGTTCTCATTGTAAATAAATGCAGTGAGAGCTGTGGAGGTTTCACAAGGTTCCTGGAGAATGATAAAGTCCAGTTTAAGGCCTAGATCCAGATTGAGGTCTCCGTGTATCCTGTTTACAGCGAGCCTTGCAGCTGCAGCCGGCAGAGCCCTGTTCTGCACAGGGTCGCAATTCCAAGGCCCCAGGACCCCCACTTTGAATATTAAACAGCGGACACAACAAGGGAATGTCAATACTCCGAGGAGGACCCATAACAGAAAGTTATAAAAGGGCAGTGTCGTAAAAGTTGGTCTGCTTTTAATTACTGGCATACATGGATGGTTGGACTCCCACAGTGCCCCTCTGAAAGGTAGATGAATATTTTGCATTGTCCTTCCAGGATGTCCAAGATAATGAATCTTCATTTTCACTAATGAATTAACAGTGACACCTGCAAAACAGGCAAAGACAAAAGTATTTCTAATTCTTAAACAAATGGCTATAGTAAGTCGTGAATGGCGGATTTTAAACAAATGGACCACCTACCATTTATCTAGTGCCATCAGGTCAGTTTCAGGGTCCAATGAGGCATTCACACACGTGTTCCCAAGCTTCTGCTTTTCTGATTCCAAATATTCCGAATATAGCTATTGATCCCGAGCATCCACAGTGTTGCTCCGCTGAAGACACAGCCAATTAATTGTGTTTGGATTATCAGCTGAAAGTGACAGGCTGCAGGCAGAGGGCTGCGCGGTGTGTCTGTCGCGTTTGGAGACAACTTCAGCACCCTGGAGAGCTACTTATGTCCCGCAGTCAGCGCCTCTGAAGGCTCCTGAGCGTTTCCACAAACACTTCTGTTCACCGGAAGCATGTCTGAAGAAAGACAGATAAAATCCCATCCAACCCCTAGGGGTCCCTTACCATCACAAAAATAAATATCAAATTGAAAATTGAAAAGCAAATCGAACTTTGAGCGAACTTCCCTAAGAAAAAGTATATTTAAAATTGGGAAAACATTTGATTGATTGTCAATATATAAAGCCAGTGTCAGCTACAAGCCTATTCAGTGAAATCCCTTCAAAGTTACTAGGGGCTAAAACGTAGGTGTTAGCCTCTAATCCATTTTCAGTGAGGCACAATGTAAGAGGATTGACAACAGGCCTTTGTCTACTCTAAAAGCTGTGTTATCATTCAGGCTGGAGCCACACAAGGCCTCTCCCCCTCAGTTACCATACTCCTCTAGAAGTAATGTGTATTGATGATGATATTTTGATGTTAATGTTTACAGATGGAAATTAGCTATTAGCTATAATCTGGCATATTGCATCTCTTCTCTTTGCTGAGATTAATATTTTTGTATGCATGGTCCTTCTATAAATAAATACAAATTAATATACTAAGTGTATATCATGGAAATACAGTTGATCCATAGCATCGACCTCCATATGCTGTTTTTGGTAAACAAACATGTCCTGATGTTCCAGGTGGGGACATTTTCTTGCCATGGAGACACCTCAGCCATACTGCATGAGGACACCTGGACCGTGCTTTAATTGGTATAATACACACGCTGTACAGCAGGCTCCACAGATTAAGTGAATTAGGAGTGGTAGTAATTAAAGATAACGAAGGACCTTCCCTGCAGGTCCCCTGAGTTCTGCTGCCTGTTTTGCCTGCGTCAGTCTTTTCAGCTCTTTTTCAAAAGACGCCACCAGGTAAAGCAACCTTGCCTGACAAATGAGTCACAAACAAATGGTTGCCACAACATCAACAGTGGTTGACGGTGTAAAAGACAAACTATGAACTGGGTGAATTATATACCAGAACCAAAGCCTGGATCAAGCGAATGTCAGAGATTATATGTTAGATATTTGATTGTATTATTCCATTATAAGGTGATACTGTAAACCACTATTACATATAGTCTACAACTCTTCACTATTGATTTTTTATGTAAAGTCAAACATAGGTTTACATGTATTTCATATAAGAGTAGTTTACTAGGATTATATTTAACAAAAGTGGTATTAGTATATTAAATATAAGGAATTTATTGTCATTAGTGTCAAATTTGTACAAAATTAATCAACGTGAGTATTCAAAAAGCAGTCCGTCTTTCAGATTACTTAAAGCTTTGTCGCCCGCATCTCACACTCTCCCTCACTCTCAAATGCAATTCCGTTTCTAGTGACACATAGCAACAAATGTATATGCCTTCACTTCTTTGTATCTTTGTTCGTTTTTGTATTACTTAATTAAACTGCCAAATCACTTAGCTCTTTTCCCTTTTTATTGTTTTCTTTGTGTGTGTATGAATTGTATGTGATTCTGTGTATGGTGAGTTTATTTGCCAGTGCCAAAGACACATCATGTGTCAATTTAATGGAAAAAAAGTATCCTGAATCTGAATCTGAACCCAGTAATGTTACATGCATATTGGCTGATGAAGTAAACAAAAACCAACCCCTTTCAATTTTAATTCAGGTAGAAATAACACAAGCTTTTAAAAACCACAAGGGTAATACTTCAGTCAACAGCTGACATCAGCTGCCTGTTCCCCCATCTGTTTGGCTATCATTCTCCCTGCGTGTGTGTGTGTTACAAAGAGTGTGTCCCATTCCAACCGTTCGATCTCCTTCCCCCATCTATTTGTCTATGTCATTCTCCCTGTGTGTGTGTGTGTGTGTGTGTGTGTGTGTGTGTGTGTGTGTGTGTGTGTGTGTGTGTGTGTGTGTGTGTGTGTGTGTGTGTGTGTGCTACAAAGAATGTGTCCCATCCAACAGTTCGATCTCCTTCCCCCATCTGTCTGTCTATGTCATTCTCCCTGTGTGTGTGTGTGTGTGTGTGTGTGTGTGTGTGTGTGTGTGTGTGTGTGTGTGTGTGTGTGTGTGTGTGAAGAACATAACCTTTAAAAGTGATTCCTGACTACTAAGGACAATGAGCCAGTAAACAAAGGTTATAGACATGATTCAGAAATATAACATTAATGTGTAACATCATACTCGAGAGAGATTTCACCTCTGTTGACCCATATTCCACGTAAGCTGATGATCTTCTTAAACATAACACCTTGACATCGTTGTCCTGCTCCAGGAATAGAGAATGATGACTCAGCACTACACATCTGATGCTGCTCTGTGCTTTGTTAGAAAATGTGAAATGAAACAACTCTCCACAAGCAAATCAAAAAGAATAATTAGGAGGGGAGGTATATTTAAAAAATAACTAAATCGTATAAGTATCCACCTAACTTAGATATAAAACTCTCTCTCGTCACGCAGTATGGGACGTTAAGGGACATTTAAATGCAGTGGAGGCAGAAAGAGGATGATGTAATATCATATCCTCTGAATCTTAAAAAAGGATAAATGAGGACATACAGTAATTCAAAACACATGTGAGACGTAGATAAAGACTTTTGGGAACATATATTTTGAAGTCACTCACACTGCATATTCATATTGAAACAAAGGCCCTTGAACACACCATATCAATGAAGACTGTGAAGGTTACCAGCAATTATGATGTATATGGGATTATGAATTTGAACTCAATTTACAAAAGCTTGAGTGGCTTTGACTCTTAATGACAAAAGTCACTTTAATGACTAGATATTCAACATGATTCAAGTTCTTTAAAATCAGGTCTTTAACCCTTGTGTACAAGCAATATAAACAGCATATGGTTACTATTTGCCTTTTACATTTGTTAGATCACATTAATGAACTAAAGTGCTACTTTTTTTTTGTATCGAGCTGATGCTCAATCTCATCCTCTTCTTCAAAGTCACTGTCAGACTCAGAATTCTCAGAAATGTGATCCTCACATTCTGAAACCTCTTCCTCTTCATCATCATCAAATGGTTCTCTCTCTTCCAGAATCATTTGCAAGGCCCTCTGAGAAGAGAATCTGTTGGCCATCTTGATCAGTTGTGATAAGGACCCAAACTGGAAAAGCTTTATTTATTGTGTCTCGCCCCAAATGTGCAGCTCGGATAGA